GCCCGCCTGATTGCACCTTCTAAAGCTGGAATCCTCTTGCCCACTCCAGCAGTAGTGGGGAAGTTGCAGCCCTGTGGGCTCAATAGGCCCTCTGTGCTCCTCCTAGGCAAGCTCAGGCAGTGTGGGCTGGATGAATGGACAGTGAGGTGGATTGAGAACTGGCTGAATGACAGAGCTCAAAGGGGTATAATCAGTGGTGCAGGAAGAGGAAGAGGAGGTTTTTGGCACAAGCCACCTTCCCCTGCCAACTCCCTGCAGCTCTTCTCAGCCCAGGGACACTGTGGGGGGACAGTGCCCAGGAAGGGTTGGCATATGGCAGTATAGAGCAGTGCCAAGTGAGCCAGGTGTGTCTGGGGGCCTGTGCCTCTCCCCAGGAAGAGGAGCAGCAGGCTTTGAGGCTCTTACTCCTTCTCGCTGCAGGTGGCAGGAGGTAAAGGAGAGGGGGCTGAGCACCATGCTCAGGTGAGCTGTGACAGGGAGCTTCACCTGCCTGTGATGGGTGTCAAAGATGCAGGTGGTGAGGAGCTCCTAGGGGAGCTGCCCACAGCAGTGCGGACCTGGAGTTGGGGGAAAGGGACAGTACCCGCACAGGGCAGCTCCCAAACCCTGTGGTGGTACCTGCTTTGCCCGGTGATGGCCAGTAAAACCTGGAGCTGGAACCACAGCTCCTTGCTGGCTGGGATGGGGAGCCCGAGCTGCTGCTTCCCCTTCCTATACATAAGAGGCCTGGATGCCGCAGGAGCAGGGACGTGGCAGAGCGCTGCTGCCAGCCAGCGCTGTGGGAAGGTCTCCAGTGTCTGGGTGGTGTGGGGGGAGTGAGCACTGGGGCTGGCTGTGACCACTGAGTGAGCATTGGGGCTGGCTGTGGCCAAGCTCTGTCTTTGTCCCTGCCCCGTGCCCAGCCAAAGCCCAGGAGCCCAAGAGATCCACAGGGGCTTTGGAGAACGGTCGCTCCTGTTGCTCGTTGCTCCCTTGCCCAGTGTGAGGCTCTGACAGCCCAGACCGTCGGGGCCTTGATTTCAGCAGAGGCTCCCTCTGCCCTGGCCTTGCTGGGTGCTGGTGGGAGGCAGCTGCAGTTTGGGGGGGCACGTGGCAGGCCTGGAGCAGGCGGAGAGGCAGGGCCCCTCCGCAGGCGCTGGGGACCGCGCGCCTTCCCTGGAGCCGCTCACACCCTTCCCCAGGGCTGCAGCAACTCGCCGGCGGCCTCTGCTGCTGCGGGGGTGGCTCCGTAGCCTGAACCCGTTTCATGGCAACTGACACCAAGCGGTGTCCTGTCCTGGTCCCATCAGCTCGTGAAGAAGGACCTGGCCCCTCCGTTGGTGTGTCTGGAAGAGAAGCTGAGGAGCTGCCTTCTCACATAGGCTTCAGTAATGGGTAATGAAGGGAGGCAGCAGTGTGTGCTACTGACATAATTCACGACCAGCACTTCATGAGCAAATTAGGGCAGGCTGGCAGTCTTCTGAGGATGGACCACAAAAGAGTGAAGCAGGAGCAGCAGGTGCCTATGCCAGGTTTCTCTTGACTTTGAGGGTGACATGGCCAGCAGTGACAGCCTTGGTGAGAACAGGGCAAGGATGGATGGGCAGAAGCATTGCCCGAGAGTGTAGTAGGCACCAGTGCTGACCTTCTGACCGAGTCTAGTTGGAGGCCTGTAGCTAG